AACAAAACACACGGTATAGTACTTTTGGTGTGTCATTTGAATATATATTTTTTACCAAATTCTTTTGTTTAGCGAAACTATACTTTTAAAGGCTTAATAATTTTTATATGAATGATAGAAAGCAGGCCTTCATTGCTAATGAATGTTCTTGCTTCTGACTAATTTTCCTCCCTCTTTATGTAAACGGATGGATGTGAGTGAATGTAATAATTATATTATCTTCCCCGAAAGATGGGCTACCTTTTAGCAGATAATAATGCTTATTATGGCTATAGATTTAGTCCTTTTATTTAATCGATTCAGTATGATATATTCTTTGAAGTTGACTTATTACTAATTTCGGAAAAAGTGCTGATAAGTCAGATTTCACTTTTCAGTCTCATGAACTCTTATCCTGTTCCAGGAGATATGTAACTCAATCAAAGAATTCTTAGCAGTATCATCGACCAGCATCCCTTCGTTGATGGATTAAGGTCTTCCTTAAACCTCTAGTACATATGGTAGAGTCTGAGGAAAAGGGAGATACACCACGGTTGAATGTAGATAGAACAGTCTTCACGTGTGAACCATTTCGACCCTCGTGTCTAGGTGCGCATCGTGACATATTTAAAACGATAAATCTGTTAATACAGCAAGATCATAGATGCAGTTACCGAATTATAAAATGCGTTTTAATATCGGACTTTCATCGCTAATTATGTCGCTTTTTATAGGCTCATATAATATGGAAAGGGCATGTACTTGTACTTGTCGTTTAGGTCATCCCCATCTCACATGTGAAGTTGAATCTAGATTAATATGTATATATGATCATCAAACAAGCATATAGTTGACATACGGCTGCATAGTAAGTAGAGGTAACCCAACCAAGAAATACATTTTCAAGCCCAAAAAATCTGCGTACAGGAAGCGCAGATCCATGGAGATGTACACCAATCCTGTAAAAAGAGGTTAAAACGAGAATACTGTGAAAAAAAAATAGAGAGTAACAAAACACAACGATACCAAAAGATTTCAAGGCCACGGCACTTTGAAGTATGAAAGACAATAGTAGTGGTGACCATATATACATGATTATTTTATGAAATATGGCCAAGATTTACCATGTCCCCAAACAATAAATCTCACCGTTTAGGGAAAGAATCACACATGGGTTGAGAGTTGCAATGAACCCAATATCTTATTTCGGAACATAATACTCTGAACCTGAACACTGAAACCATGCATAAACACGATGAAAATATGTATTACAGAATGAGTTAAATAAATATGGATCAAAAATGATATTTTTCAAAGTCCAAGCATCCTTTTTTTTGAAAAATTTTGCGTTCCATATAGATAATTCTCTGAGTTCCTTTCCCCGCGTGATAGAGACATACGAATATATTCCACTACAGAAAAAAAACAATGAGCTAAATCAACTTTAATAGAATCACTAGCTATTTCGATGACTACCATATGCTAGTAAAAAAGAAAAACGTTAGAGATGAAACCATGCTTGTCCACGACCTACAAGTGGGGACTGTCATCCCTACAACTCACCGTGGCGAATAACGTCCCCTAAGTCACTAGAAGACCCTAAACCGAGATCGGTCTCCCCGTCAAGGTCGTCATTTGCGTTGCAAGAGCTACACCCACTAGCATCGCCACCGCCTACCTGACTGAACAGTCGCGACGGATATTTCAGAAAAGACAAAGATGAAGACGAGATGGAAGGTGCCGTACAAGGTGGCTGCGATCCGTGCGCAAGGTGGTTCGACGATAGGCAAGTGTTGGCGGCGACGCTGCGCTCACTGTGGGAATCTATCAACACGTGCACGTCGGGGTCAATCTGCATAATTGTGCCGATAACAGGGGTTTAAAAACCCGCGCTGAGGCCCACATGATGTTTTGCGGCATCTTTAATCAGTATCCCAACCTTAGTTTTACGTATAGAAAATGACATTTAAAATACTTTAAGCTTCTTTAATATGAAGATAGATTTTTTTCGCTTTAGGACCTGATAACCGCGTGTTTGGATAATTTCACAAGAGTTTGTTTCTCTGTCAACAACACTCCTCTTCTCATTTTTATTCTTCGGCGCAAGCATATATCCACAAGACACTTTTCACGTTTGTTGATGACCCGCTGCATATGTTGAAAGACTTTCAAACGCCATCCTAGACCATTGCAGAAATCTTTACGAACTCAACTATAGTAATAGAAAAAAAGAGGTTCACTATTCCTATAGCAAATTATTTCCGAATCAAAACTATGTGTCAAGTTATCCACAAAAAATCTCAGGAAACTAAGAAATGTCAATTCAATGAAGAACTTGCTGATATCTTACAAGGGCAGGCAGAGTTTATTTAGGAAAAACATTAGTCCATAAAAACCCTTTATTGAATTCCACGGTCGTTGTAAAGATCAAGGCCAGATTAGAACAAACTTTTTGTACTTGTCACTAAAGAATATTCACTTTCACTAAAAAATACATAACTAGCTCCTCCTATTTAATCCCTAATGACACATTTCATTCACTACAGAATAAATTAAATTATATAAACTTCTGGTATCAATAGAAAACTATAGAGAAAAGTCTTGCAGCATA